GGCATATGCCTGGGTTGTGGGCCAGGTCCCCAGTGGGAGGGGCATGTGAAAGGCAACCACACACTGATGTTTCTCTGGCTCTCTCTCTTTCCCTTCCCCTCCCTCTAAAAAATAAATAAATAAAATCTTAAAATAAAAAAAGTTGCCCCAGAAGTTCCTAAGCCTCTCCTCATTTTTTTGAATTCTTGTTTCTTCATTCTGTTCTGGCTGAATGTTTATTTCTTCCTTCTGGTCCAGACTGTTTATTTGAGTCCTGGTTTCCTTCCCTTTACTCTTGGTTCCCTGTGCATTTTCCTTTATTGTACTTTGCATGGCCTTCATTTCTTAATTCATTTCTGTGAGCATCCTGATTACCAGTGTTTTGAACTGTACATCTGATAGGTTGGCCATCTCTTCATTGCTTAGTTCTATTTTTGGAGCTTTGATCTGTTCTTTCATTAGGGCCATATTTTTTTTTTGTCTTGGAGTACCTATTACGTAGTAAGGAGCAGAGCCTTCGGTGTTCACCAGGGTGGGGCAACCCAGGTCACCGTGCTATGGCACTGTACGTGTGGGAGGGGTCCTAGAGAGAACAGTGCTGCTTGCTCAGCTCTTGGCTGGCTTTCTGTGACTTTCCCGCTACCCACAAGCAGAGTAGGCCCTTGTGATGCTGATTCCCAGGTGGGCGGTTTTGTGTACATTCTAAGACCTGTGGGTCTCTCTAACGAACTCTCCTGTGAGGCTGAGAGTTCCTCCTGCTCGCACAGCTCCCACAGGATTTAACAGTCAGAGATTTTGAGGCTTTATTTCCCTGCACTGGAACTCTGGGTTTCTCGGTCTGTCTTGCTCCCAGTTTATTTGCATGTGGGGCCGCCCCGTCGGCCAGCCACCACCTCGCTGTGAGTCCTCTCCACCCGGCTGCCTGTCTCTGCCTCCACTACGGGTCTGGATGAATGTTTCTTCCCTAAGTCTTTGGTTGTCAGACTTCCATACAGATCAATTTCCTGGCAGTTCTGGTTATTTTTTGTTTTTAAATTTGCTGTTGTCCTTTTGGTTGTGTGAGGAGGCAAAGCGTATCATCTACCTATACCTTCACCTTGGCCAGAAATCTGTCTAGAGGTCTTTAAAGAAGTTATTGAAGCTGAAAAACCAATGAGTTGAGGGTCAAACTGAAGAGGATAAAAGGAGAATTCAGAGAAGGGAGAAATACTTCAAAAGAAAACAGGCAACACAATGGTTAACTGCGCAGACTATAGCCAAGCAGGCTTAGTTCAACTCCATCCTTCCATTTCAGCTGCAGGATTAAAGCCCAGATTCTCACCTTTGAGAAGAACCTCTTTAAGCTTGTTTCCCCATCTGTAAAATTTGGATAATAGAACCATTTCTGTAGTATAAAATTATGCATGTCAGAGACTTACGCGTGGTCTGGCATATGATCATCCTTAATACATGCCGTCAGGGTAGGAGAAAAGACTTGTTAACATATCGCATATAGATAGATACATGGAGAAGGGAAAATTAGAAAGAGTGCCAAGGTTTCTACCCTGGGAGGTGCAGTCATTAATGGAACTAAGAAAGGCAAAAAGAGCTTTATGGTTGGCGCTCATCAGCACCTTTTCTTTGGACTAGCTTAACAAATATGCATTAAGAGCACATAAAGTCAATATAATTTGATGAGCTAGAGCTGCGCTAGGATGTTGAAGCAGCAGCAGGGGAGTCTGTTGAAGCCGATCTAATGGCTTAGGGGAGTCTTCCTAGAGAAGCTGATGGTTGCACACAGTCCCGAAGGATGAGTACACTCCAAGATAAAGACTGGTATGAAGAGTGTGGCAGACAAAACACACACAAGCAAAGGCACAGGGGTGAGACACAGCATAATGAACATGGGAAGCTGTGGACAGTCTGACTACAAAACAACAAGGTGGCGAGTGGGTGGAAAATGAGGCTGGAGACGTAGGCAGAGGCCACGCCACAGTCATCCGTCACTGGGTGTGCCACACTGCAGGGCTGCTCCAGCCCCCTCCTGGTCCTGAGCTGGGATGGTGTTGCCAGCCTGGCACTGTGCGCACAGCAGGTACATTTTCAGCCTTGGGCCCTTCCACCCTGTTATTGCGCTCCCAGCATATCCTGTTTCTCTAAGCTCGCCCCACAGGCTGAGCAAACAGGACCAGCTGGATTAGGGTGTTGGAAGAGGGGTGGGTGAGATGCCCAGGCTGTGTCATGTAATGCCAGCGGCTGAGATTCCCCGCACCCCCACCTCACTGGTCTTGGGGCGGGAACACTCCCTGAGGAGGTAGGGGTGTGACCCATTCTACCCACCCTGGTCCGTGAGTCATTTATCTAGTAGGTGTTTGAAGGAGTCGAAAGCACCACGTTGGGTGCTGGGACGACACTGGGTTTTGTCACTAGAAGACAGCCCCATTCAGTTGGAATGTACTGCAAAAACACCCAAGTGGATGTCACAGGGCGTAAGAGCTCTGATAACACTGGCTGGCTTTTTTTGTTTTTTACATGAAACAGTTTATTCTTCTATTATTTATTAATTATTGTAACATTTTCTTTTTTAAGTATATTTGATTGATTATGCTATTACAGTCGTCCCAGTTTTTTTCTCCCCTTTATTCCCCTCCACCCTGCACCGCCCACCCTCCAACATTCCCCCCTGCTTAGTTCATGTCCATGGGTCGTACATAGAAGTTCTTTGGCTTCTCTATTTCCCATACTGTTCTCAACCTCCCCCTGTCTATTTTGTGCCTACCAATTATGCTTATTCCATGTACCTTTTCCCCCCATTTCCCCCCTTTCCCTCTCTCCCTCCCCACTGATAACCCTCCATGTAATCTCCATTTCTGTGATTCTGTTCCTGTTCTAGTTATTTGCTTAGTTTTTATTTTTGCTTTTTACATTCAGTTGTTGATAGTTATGAGTTTGTTGTCATTTTACTGTTCATAATTCTCGATCTTCAATCTCTTAGATAAGTCCCTTTAACATTTTATGTAATAAGTGTTGATGATGAATTCCTTTAACTTGACCTTGTCTGAGAAGCACTTTATCTGCCCTCCCATTCTAAACGATAGCTTTGCTGGATAGAGCAATCTTGGATGTAGGTCCTCGCCTTTCATGACTTGGAATACTTCTTTCCAGCCCCTCGTACCTGTAAGGTCTCTTTTGAGAAATCAGCTAATAGTCTGATGGGAACGACTTCAATTCTCCTAAACCCCCCCCCCCCAAAATAGTAGTATTTGTATTCCACCTTCAAGATGTTCTGGAATCTCCATTCCTATCAAAATAATTCCTCAACAAAAGAACAATCCTTTTAAAAAAGTAATCAGTTCCCAAGTTCTGATGTTTTTGTGGGAAACACAGATATGTTTAAAACCCAGCCATACTGGGATAAGACCCCTCTAATTGCCTTTGTCTAGAAGCAACGTATAAGAGGTATGCGTTTTCTCTCTTTCCTTTTTAAACTGATTTTTTAAAGAGGAAGGAAGAGAGAACTATTGATTTTTGTTGTTCCACTTACTTGTGCCTTCACTGGTTGATTCTTATGTGTGTCCTGACAGTGGGTCGAACCTGCAACCTTGGTGTATCGGGATGATGCTCTCAGCAGCTTAGGTGCCTGGCCAGGGCCAGGGGTACGCATTGTCTGTGTGGGGAATCAGGTAGCAGAGGCTTAAGGAATTGCAGCTCTAATGTTCCTATGACTTTATTTCTACATCTTAATCCATTGTTGTTTCCAACTGGAAATTTAAAATTTCTTCTATTAACACTGGTGAAGTGTGGCTTATTTAATTCTCATAACAACCCTAATAAAATAGTTTCATTTTGGGTTGAGGAAATTACACACAGAGAGGCAAAGTGACTTGTCCAAGGTCACATAGCTTCTGGGTGGTGGTTAGGGTTAGGGATTCAAATGGAGCAGGTAGCCTCCATCTGTATTCTGTTTAAACACTAGGTATATGGCTATCCAGAGAATCTGCTAAACCTTTGCTTCTAAGTAAATGCCAGGAATACAGACAAAGGAGCGATTACTGTGGCCTGAGGGCATCTACAAAGGCTCCTTGGAGAAGGTGGGACCTGATCTGGGCCTGGAGCCGGGCTAAACGGTAACAGCGGGAGGGGAAGAGCAGATAATCACTTTAGTGTCCTCCCCTCTGAATCATCACTTTTCACTTGAGTGGCAGAGCCAGCAGGGACCCCAAAGATGACCTAGCCCAGGGGCTCTCAAAATCTCTTAGGATGTGGACACTTTCGAGGTCTCGCCGCCTCAGAGAGGAGGCCCGTGCACAACTTTACCCCCAGGGCCATTCTTGTTCTCGCTGTCTGGGGAGACAGTGGCTCCCAAAAGACCGGTAAAGGGGGCGTGTTTTTTTAAGATTTTTAAAAAATTTATTTGTTTATTTATTTATTTATGTATCTTTGGAGAGAAAGGGAAGGAGAGAGGGAAAGAAACATCAATGTATGGCTGCCTCTCATGCGTCCCCTGCTGGGAACTGGCCTGCAACCCAGGCATGTGCCCTGACTGGGAATCGAACCGCGATCCTCTGGTTCGTAGGCCCCCCACTCAATCCACTGAGCTACACTAGCCAGGGTGGCGTTTTTTTTTTAATTAAAAAAAATTTTTTCCCCATCACCGTTACTCCCCCTCTCCCAGCTCCCCTCCTCCCGCCTTCCCATAAGCAGCTGGGTACTCTGCTCTTGCCTCTTACTATTTTCCCTTGTACCCGCCCTCAGATTGAATTGTTGGCAGCCACAGATGGGCAAGGGAGAGCGAGTGAAAGGAGCTGGGGCTCAGAACTGCTGTAGATGAAAATGAAGGAAGTTTTAGTTGGGGTCACGAAGAATGAGCTGCATACTTCGGGATCGGAGAGTGAATGCCAGTTTGCCTCCCTACATCCTACACTGCATCATGGTCTCCAGAAAACATGTCAGCCACTGCCCATCCCAGCAGGGCCTTGTCGTATTTATAAAAGAAACGGGGTGGTCAGCACCTTTCTCACTGTCAACTCTGCCTTCCCCAGATACATGCAGGTGAAATTTGTCTGCATTCGGACCCAGTCAAACAGGAGGAGAACACCAGGGGCAGACATGTGCCCTGCATACTTGCTCCTGCGGTACAATGAGAAACTGGACAGGCTGTTTATCAGTGAACTCAACACCCAGCACATACATGTCGACTGCAAAACTGCGGATCCTGGAGGAGACCTGGCCGGCAAGTCTCAAAAGATGACATGCTTGCAGAAACCGGAGCCCGAGCAGCCCACATTCGAGAAAGGCCTGGACATGGCCAAGAAGCCCCTGGTTGAGCCATCATTTTGCTCAGATAAGGTCCAAGCAACCCCACAGCCCAAGCAGGAGAGTATCACCCCTTCTGACCTGGCCAAGATAGCAAAAGTGATGAAGAACTTTCTTAAGGTGGATGAGGGTTCCATGGCCTCCCTCAGTGTGGGCAACAGCCAGGACCTGGACCGGCTCAGCTTCCAGAGCAGCAAGATGAGCAGCCTGTTCATCCGCTTCCCGGAAAGTCTCTTGCTGCATCGGGTGGAGAACGCCCAGGGCCACATTCTCTATGCCTTCCTAGTGGAGAACAAGGAGCGAGAGGGCCGAGTGGTGCACTTTTCTGTGCTCAAGGCTGAGACAGCCACATCTGTGGCCAAGATGCTGAGCATCTTCACAGAGTTCAACTCAGATTGGCCCAAGATTAAGGTGGTCTTTGTGGACCCGTCCTTCCCTCACCGAGCTGTCCTGCAGGAGATCTTCCCTGCGGCCCGCGTCCTCCTTTCCATCTACCACACAACCCGCCTCTTGGAGAAGAAGCTGCATCGCAGTTCAGCAAATTTGTCCTTTAAAAGTCTCATGAAGGAAGCCCTGCGGGAGGCTGTGTTTGTCACCTCTGACGCCAGCCTGCAGAGTCTCTGTCAGATGTCCCGGTCCCTCCTAGATGAGGAGCTCTTTGGCTTCCTGCAGGCCCACTGGTTCTCCTGCGAACTGCTGTGGTACATGCATGTCAGGAAGGGCCTGCACGCGTGCAGCACCTACATGGACAGCCTAGACATCATCACCAGCAAGGTGTCAAGCCTCTTCCGAGAGCCACAGTCCCTGCTGGACTGCATCCTCTGCTTTGTGGATTACATAGACTTCTTCAATACCAAAGGCGTGAAAAACTTGCCCACAGCTCCCCCCAGGTTAAAGAGAGCTCAGCCAGCAAGCTCACCCCCCAAACCCAAGAAGCCTTTTGGAATCTGTGGAGGGAACCTCATCCGGACTCCTGCGAAGGAGGTCCTGCCACAGGCGCCAATGCAGCAGCAGCCACAGGGGCAGCCCTCCCACGGTGGCATGCTGGACTCCCTGCGCCAGAGTGGTTTCGAACTGGCCTATAAGCTGTGCTACAACGAATGGGAGGTGGTACAGAACTCCACTCACCTGGTGGATATGGGTGGCTCCTCAGTGGACGTGCAGTTGGTAGAGGACTCTTACCAGGTTAGCAAAGACGGCTGCAGCTGCAGCTGTTCCTTTCAGCAGTGGTACCACCTGCCATGCCGGCACATTTTGGCCCTGCTGCACACCAGCCAGAAGCCTGTGGGTGAAACCATGGTCTGCCGCCGGTGGCAAAAGAGGTACCAGCACCTCCTTGGGCCTGGTGGGGAGCTCCGGGACCCTGTTGGGGTCCCAAACACAGGCCAGCCTGGGAAGCAAGGACGGAAGGACATGATTCAGGACCTAAGCAGGGAGCTAGCAAACCTGCTAATGCAGAGTGAGGGGCCAGAGTTGGAGGAGCGCTTTTCCACCTTGCGCAAGATTGTGGACATCTGGGCTGACCCCTGCCAGCTATTGGAGCCCACTCAGCAGCCAGGGGACTTCAAGGATGTGGGTTGCCTCCCTTTTCTCTGGGGAAAGCAGGAGGAAGTAGAGGGACTCCCTCTTGCTGGAACCACGATTCATGATTGAAGCGCTTGCTCTGGTGCACTGGGCCGCAAGCTTCTCTCTCTGAAAGTCCGAGAACTCAAAGGAGGCAGGACTCAACCAGGAGTCAGCATCTTACCCACTGTCTTCTCAGGTAGGGCTAGGAAGATTGTTAAAATGGGAGAGGAGGAGCCCTGTCTTTTTGACAGTCCTTTGAATTGCTCCCTTTTCTGCCCTACCTTTGGCATTCCTCGGAGCCTCATTCACTGTTCAAGGCCAAAGTTGTTTCCATGCTGAAAGGCCACGCCTCCTTCTCCCCTCATCCCTGAGGTCAGATCTGACTCACTTTACAAAGATGAACCCAAGGCCCAGGATAGGATGAGACAAAATGGGCGAAGTGAAATTAGGGCCTGTTTTCAGGGACAGAGGGAAGGAGCGTGGTCCTTGACTGTTGCTGCTCTTTACAAAGAATCTGTTAATTTGTGCCTATTTTTATTCATATTAAAGTTTTTTTTTTAATAAAATCAAGCAAGAGAAATGTGTGTTGCTTGAATAGGGAAGGAATCTAGTGGGGATTGTGAGGCAAAACAGCTTGATACCTCAGAGACTTAATGCACCCTTCACCCTCTGCCTGGCAATCAAACCTTCAGCTCTGATTTCAAGCAGGCTGGCGTTTCTGGCAGGATGCAGCCGAATAGACAGGGAAGGAAAAACCTGAATCTTACAATCAACTAGTTGCCCAAGCTTGGGGAGGGGGGATTGGGGGGGGGGCTGTGGGAAAGTCCCTAATTTCTTCATCTGCAAAAATTAGTGTTGGCCAGTACTAGTCTCGGTTTCCTCTTTAGATTTCTATGAACAGAACATTTTTGTCGCATTCATAAGCATCAGCACTACTTTTGTTGTTGCTAGTTTGTAATCAGTCTTCTTGTAGCCAGCCAGCTTCCGGGGAAGAGGTCAACAGATGGAGTTCTTGCAGTCGTTCACCGTGACCTTAGCAAGCCACAGCGCCATTCTGGACCTCTCTCTCTCTCTCTAAAACACTGAGAGGGGAAACACCAGGCTCTCCCAAGGTGATCTGGGTTTTCTCAAATCCAAGGGTTGGGCCCCTGACCCCTGACCTAAAGGCAGAATTTGCAAACCTCAGTTTCCCCATGACAGAAGACCCAGTACAACTACATCTGCATGCTTTCCTGCCCCTCCTGGGCCTTTGGAATTGGACCAGAAAATAAAACATTTATGAAACATCGCTGTTTATTTTCATTTTCGGCCGCTGACGGAGTTTCCATAGTAACACGCCCTTCCTACTCGAAGGGAGTATACGCAGATGGGAGGTTCCAGAGTTCCAAGCTCTGGGCTCAGACTCGCCTCCATGCCAGTGTCCTGAGGCTCTCATTGGCTACCGCCAGCCGAGCCCTTGTAACCCTGGTAACAGTACCGCCCATGAGTCGCCAGGCTACGATTGGTCCAAGCCCGAAAAGCCTTATGTGAGTTCCTCGGCCCATTGGTCTGAGTCACAAGAAACCAGCGCCAGGGTTGGTGAGCCCAGAGAGCCGTCAGAGCCGGAGACTGGGTCAAATAGGGAGAAATGGCGACCGAGGCAGGCTGTGGGTGAGTGATTTCGGAAGGGTTGGGGAGGTATGGCAACTGACGACTACTGTCATCCCTGACACAACTCCCAGGGGGGTGGGAATCAACTTGACTTCTGGCTCCAGCCGCACCCAGTCCGGAGTCCTCTGACATTGACATCCTTCTGTTCGGGCTAGAGGTGAGAGGTCAGAGGCCTCTTCCTTTCTCAGTCCCTGGTTTTCCGACCTCAGGTACTTTGGAAAGCATTCAAAATCCCAAGCCAAAGACTCAGTGTCAAGCTATTTACAGAATAATGTTGGGCAAGTCACAACCTCCTTGAGCCTCAGTTTTCCATCTGTGAAATGGGGCCAAGTAGAGGAAACATTTGACTAGAACTTTGAGGTTCGTAGAGGGATTTGCACAGAGGCTGGAGCGGCTGTGCACGGTTTTTAGCCCCGTTCAGTGGCTGAAGAGATGAAGGCTCAGAGAGTGTCATCGACTTGCCCAAGAGCATACAGCAAGTTTGGGGCAATAGAGTTCTCTTATACACACCAGGACCAAATGAAAAAATGGTACCAAGAAGTAAATTGTAAATACAAAGTGCTGCATGAATATTTGAAATACTGTGTTTTAACAATGACTATATGCAGCACTAGCCTTCCCACCTACTTAGATCTTCTAGAACCAAATCACTCCTTGGCTGGTGCATCGGTTAGGTCTCAGCTCCAGCGTCATCCTCCCTTCCTGCAGAGAGGACCTCCCTGACCACCTTAGCTGAAGTTCCCCTCCCTCCCCAGTTTACCCCGTCACCCAGTCTTGTGGTCTTTGTAACCATTATTTGATATGTCCTTATTGTTTACATGTTTATGGTGTATCTCCCCAAGAGGAAGGCTGATACATAGTAAGTTCAATAAATTCTGTCCGGATGAATAATTGGAGAGCCAGGCCCCTACTGCCTCCTTAACCCTCTGTTCCTCTCCCTAGGCCCCTCTTTGGAACGAGATCTGGAGAATACAGTCCAACCTCCGGCCTTAACTCAGCTGGTGCTTGAGAGACTGAGCGTGTCCTGTACAACAGCCTGGCAGAGAATTATTTTGGCCTTGGCATCTAGACCTTTCCCTTCTCCCCCATGGCCCTGACAATGCTGAACGAGCTCCTCACGGAGGACCCAAGCCCGCCTATGCTTCTGTACCAGGTTAGCAAGACTGCCAAGTTAGATACCCTCAACTATCAGAGCTGCTTTATGCAGAGTGTCTTTGCCCATTTCCCTGAGATCTTATTTATCCACCGGACCTATAACCCAACGGGCAAGGTATTATATACCTTCCTGGTGGATGGTCCTCGGGTGCAGCTGGAGGCCCACCTCGCCCGAGCAGTCTACCTTGCCATTCCTGCCAAGGAGGATGCTGAAGGCCTGGCCCAGATGTTCCAGGTGTTCAAGAAGTTTAACCCAGCTTGGGAGAGAATCTGTACTATCCTAGCGGATCCCTGCTTCCTCCCTATGCCCACCCTAGCCATGGAGTTCCCCGCAGCTGAGGTCCTGCCATCGGCCTTCCACATCTGCAAGTTCCTCCAGGCTAAGTTCTATCAGCTTTCCCTCGAGCAGCCCGTGGAGCAGGTGCTCCTGACCTCCCTGCAGAGCACAATGTGCTCAGCCACCGCTGGCAACCTGAGGAAGCTGTATGCACTCCTGATCAACTATATCCCCCCGGACCAGCTGCCCAAGCTCCACTCGTACTGGCTGCTCAATGACCGCATCTGGCTGGCCCACCGGTGGAGAAGCCGAGCTGAGAGCAGCCGCTACTTCCAGGGCCTGGAGGTCACCACCCGCATCCTCAGCCAGTTCTTCGGGACCACCCCATCTGTGGAACAGGGCATGACCTCCCTGCTCCGATACATGCAGCAGAATTCTGGAGACAAGGCAGGCTTCAGCCTGGGCCTGAGTCCCCAGAACAATTGTTCCACCTCAGACATCAGCCCCCAAATCCCCAAAGTGGAGCAGCTGGTAGAAGCTTGCATCCAGCAGTCCCTCAGTACCATCTGCACAGGGCCAGCAGCCCAGCTCTGCCTGGGTGAGCTCGCTGTGGTCCAGAAGTCCGTGCACCTTGTTGGCTCTGGCTCAGAAGAGGTGAACGTACAGATCCTGGAAGACACCCACAGGGTGCAGCCCCAGCCCCCTGCCAGCTGCAGCTGCTACTTTAACCAGGCCTTCCGCCTGCCCTGCCGCCACATCCTAGCCATGCTCAGCGCCCGCTGCCAGGTGCTCCAGCCCAGCATGCTGCCTCCTCAGTGGACGGATGGCTGTGCTGCAGAGCTAAATGACATCCTGGGCAGCAAGTGGAATGAGACCCTGGATAAGCACTTGGCCGTGGCTCTCCTCACGGAGGAGGTGGGTCAGCTCCTGCAGCACTGCAGCCAGGAGGAGTTTGAACGGCGGTACAGCACCCTGCGGGAACTGGCCGACAGCTGGATCGGCCCTTACGAGCAGGTCCAACTGTGATTCCCCTCCAGGCCAAGAGATGCTCGTACCCAGGTACTCGCATCCTCCCCTACACACACACACACACACAGTTACACTTCTAAGGACGCTTCCTCCAAGAAAGGACAAGCGTCTTCTAGTCTGCCACAGCCTGGTACCTACAATATGTCTAGTTCCCTAAGCCAAGAGTCAGCAAACCTTTTCTGTAAAGGACCTGACAGTAAATTATTTTAGGCTTTGCTGGCCATATATAGTATGTCGTATATTCTTGTTTGTTTTTTTACAGTCTTTCCAAAAAGTATAAACCATTCTTAGTTCAAGGGCCTTACAAAAACAGGTGACCCGCGGTCTGAGAGCAGAGATACAGCGGTAAGATCAAGGTCTGGGGTGTTTTCCCAGTAACGAGACAACTGACCTGACCTGCAGAGGGAGGGGTCCTTCAGAGGGGGTGGTTCAGACGGGTTCCCAGCCTCTTTACTAACCCCCCCTCCCTGCCATGTCATATCCTGAGGGCGTTAAAGTTGAATGTTGCCCGCGCTGCACTGGTCTAGTTTTTCATCTTGTAGAAGGCACTTTGGGAAATACCATGGAAAGGAGAGAGACTTTGGAGTCCAGCACTACAAGCAAATTCCGATTCCTCACCTGCCTGATTTTTGAGGCCTGGTTCTGCCTTTTCCTAGCTGTGGGACTTGGGGCAAGTTACCCTTCTAAGCCCCAATTTGTTCATCTGTAAAAATGGAGATCCTCACAGCACCGGAAGTATTGAAGGAATGGGCATATATAATGGGCCTGATACCCAGTGGGCGCTCACAGTTTCTTTCTTTGCCTGTGGTTCCAGCACCTGCCCTCAGCAGGCTGGGAAACGTAAGGCAGGGGGAGATTCACACTGCCTGGGACTTTGTACAAGAAACTGATGGAGTCCCAAAACTACAGAAGTCTCCACTGTCCACTCAGGGTGCCTACCTCATTTTCACTGTGTCGAATAATTCCTGTGACAAGAACTGTCTCCTGGCTTAGTGGTATTTGGAGAAACTTCTGGGGTCTGGGCCCTGAGGAAAGACTGGTATTCATTAGAGTGGCTCAAACAGCCACCCTACCCCATCCCTGCCATAGGCACCCCCAAGCCTGTCTGCCCAAAAACCATACAGAGAAGCCACCCTATGTGTCTGATGCTATTTCAGCAGCTACAAGCAGGAGCCAGGAGGCTGGCCCCTCCTGGATCTCACTGGGGGCATTTGCCCAGAGGCTATGTGGGCACGCACCGGCTCCCACTGCACCTCCTCCACAGCCCCCTCTGGCTCTGGATGGGCCATCATGAAAGCTTGAGCCGCCCGGATGAGGTCCTCTTCCCGCAGGCCTGGGACAGGCACGGTGGGGATGCCAGCGATCATCATGGCCAGGGTAAGGATGCAGATGTCAGGCTGGGGGCCGGCCTCCTTCCCCCCTGCCTCGGTGGGCATTGGTACAACCCCTGGTGACAGCGTGTGCAGCAGCAGAGACCCAGGCCTGCTGGAGCCCCCCAGGTGGGGAGCTCGACTTCTGGAGCAGCCATCCTCCCAGCCCAAGCTCTCTGGCTGCTTCACGTGGGAGAACTTGGGGCAGTATTGGCCATACTCCTTCTGCCGCAGTGTCTCCCAGCTAGGCCCCCCAAGGCAGCCCCTGGCTTCCGGCACTGCCAGGGCTGGGCCCCAGGCCTGGGCAGCAGGTACCACCTGCTCAGCTTTCTGGTGCAGTGGGCCTCGTCCGCCAGGGGCCACCACCACTGGCTCTATAGGACTATAGGGGCCAAGGGATGAGCCTGGAGAAGCAGTCTCACCTGCAGAAACAGGAATGAGATGGAATGTTATTCTTGGTCTCTTAGAGGAGGCCCTGAGGGGCAGGGCACAGGAGCAGAGTCCTGGGAACAGGAGCAGTTAAGACCAGCCTAAGAGGGCTGGCTAGTGGTTGGGAACTCGGTTTTACTGAAATGTGCACACCCAGTCCTCAATCCTAAGTGATGAAGAAGTGTTTGTTCAATGAATGAGAGAGGAAGTGGCGAGCTCTTGGCAAGCCCTCTGGGAATGGCTCATCTTTGAAAAGAATTCGCTCGAGGGCCAGCCCCAGAATGCCCAGCGGAAGCTCCACCTCCCCAGAGCTAGGACACCGATTCTCAGGGGAGGCTGTGGCACCCCCTCCAGTTCCAGGAGCCCCTCTCTCACCTTGGCTGGAAGGCAGAAGACCTGGATGAGTTTGTGGAGACATGAAATAGGACATGACCATCCCAAAGCCCCTGTTTGTGAAGGAATAGTCATCTGCCTCCTCTCCTGCCCTCTTCACCATTCTAGAATGTCACCTCATAATCCCTCCCCTCTGTACCTGGGACCCACCCCACAGCACTGACCTGTTCATTCTAGAACTTCTACAAGACAATGGGACAGAGTCTAGAGAGCCCTGGACCAGGATCTGGGCATTCTAGGTTCTTGCCTTTATCTTGGGTGAAGTTTTGTTCCTTGGTATCCTCATTTGTGACGTGGCAGTAGGGACCGCCCACTACCTCACCAGAAGCTGTGAGGATTAAATGAGACCATTTGTGTGGGGGCCAATGATCAGAGGTACAGATGATGGAGTCCCATGCTGTGTGCCTGTAGTGTGGGGAAAGGAACGCTCTGCATCCATGCATTTGCTGTGTGATTTTTGGACAACTGTATTCCCATCTCTGGGCTTCGGGTTCTCATCTACAAAATGAAATAGTTGGTCCAGGGCATGGTTCTTGCACCAGGTTTCACGTGAGCCTCTGCCTTGGGGACGTTAGGAATCCTTACACCCAGTCTCATCCCAGAGCAATTAAATCAGAATTCCAGGGTCTGACCCAGTTATCAGTGTTTTTCAAAGTTCCCCAAGTGGTTATAATGTGTCCCAAAGCTGAGACCTCTGTGTAAGGGTAAGGCTCCTCAACCCTGGCTGTACATTAGAATCTCCAGGGCAGCTTTTGCAAAAAACAGTGTCTAGGCCCAAACCTCTGACAAATCTAGTAAGAATCTCTGGAGTGGAATCTACGACTGTGACCAGCACCCAGGATGGGAATGCCCGGCCAGGTGATGTGTAACATGCTCTCTCCTGCTCTGACCTGCCAGCCCACAGCGACTCTAAAAGGAGCGCCCCTCACAGGCCTCGGGGGCAAGGAGACCCTTTTGTGATCAGTGCAGCATTTACTGTGTTTATTTCTGGCCCTGGCTGACAACAAGATGGCCAGCTTCAGACCAGCCACAGCTCGGCGGCCAGGACCTGCTCCTGGACTCAGCTCGGGTCGCTGCAGGCCTTCACTCATACTTGCAGAAATCCTTAAGTCCCTTGGGCAGGTGGAGCCCATCGATGGCCAACCGGTGCACCACGCTCCTCTGGATCACTAGGCGGCACAGGGTCTGCAGGGAGGGCACTGTGGAAAGAAGACGGTCAAAGTCAAACTGAACTGCAGGGTGGGTCTAAGGCTGAGTCCCAGATCTAGGTCTTGGTCTCCCCTCTGTCGTTAACTTGTACAATTCGCTCCTGCTCTCTCGGGGCCCCCCGTGACTCAGAGCTGTACCCATGCTTGAGATAAGCGCCTCTTTCACAACACTTTCACAACGCTGCAGCCCTATTTCTATTATAACACTCAGGGCCCTCCCTTCCCCCTCACTTAGCAGCTTCTCGGGCCAGGAGTAGTGTCTGCTTCAGCTCTGCAGCTTCAGCCTCCACACAGGCCTGGCACAAAGTGGGTTCTAATTCACAGAATGCATAGAAATGGGATCAGAGATCTAAATAAAGGGTTTGCCAGAGAACCACACCTAAGGATGAAGCTCTCAGTCTACGGTCTGAGATGTGATGTGATGACTTTAAACTGATATGGCCCTGGCTGGTGTGGCTCAGTGGATTGAGTGCCAGCCTGTGAACCGAAAGGTTGTGAGTTCCATTCCCAGTCCCTGCACAGGCCTGGGTTATGGGCCAGGTCCCTGGTTGGGGGCCTGCGAGAGGCAACTGAGTGATACTTCTTTTGAACACCGATGTTTCTCTTTCTCTGCCTCCCTTCCTCTCTCTCTAAAAATAAATAAATTGTTAAAAACTGGTATGCCCAAAATCTAGGAGCATTTGCTTGATAAGGAGCACACAATTCTCACAGAGGCCCAGAATCTGAAATCGGTTTAGGAACCCTGCCCTGGGTTAATAGGGAAAATACTGTGAAAGCCAGAAGGGAATTTTGAGGGCATCCTAATCTGTCACAGCCAAGATGAGTAACAGGCCCAGAGCCAGGTAGTGGTTTATCCAAGAGCACAAGCAGAGGCAGAATTTGAGGTCAGATCCCCCAATTTCTGGACAGACCAAGGGCTTGCTAGCTGGCTTGAGAGCCTAGCAAGTTTGGGTCCCCACCCTAGGCCAGGAGGGCTCGATCCCCAGGGGGAGGGATACCTACAGCCATACTCAAGCTGGACCAGGCGCACGCTCTTGGTGGAGGCAAACAGGTCCACCACTGCGTAGAGGGGCTGCGCGGCTGGCAGACCCCGGGCACTGGGGCCCATGTCCTCGCCGTTGATGACGATGTGCATGTCGGCTGTGCCATCGGGGCGTGGGCAGAAGAGAACGCCCAGGCGGCTACGGCGCGCGGTCGGAGGCAGCACGTTCAGCTCATAGAGCTGGTCCAAGAGGTGGCTGTAGAGCCCAGGCCGACTGCGGCCCACCAAGCGATCGCGGGGGATACGAAACTGCTCAATGCACAAATACGGTTCCACCAGAAGGGCTGGGGGTCGGCTGGGGGCCATTGCCTCTGCTTCCGACTGGCCCTCCCGGGGCACGCGGTTGTGATGGCGCGTGATGGCAAAGACCCAGGTGTGGCCGAGGCTGACCAAGTCAGGCAGCGAAAACTCGGGCACCAGGGTCAAACTGGCAGGGTCTAGCGCAGTCAGGCCGAGGCGCAGGTGGCCGCACCAGCCCCGCTCTTTCTCCTCGATCTCGACCAGGAATACCTGGCCTGGAGCCAGTGGCTCGTGACTGAAGCACACGCCGTGAGCAAAGCTCTCCACGCGTGTGGCTCGCGTCCCAGAAGGGTCCACGCGGATGTTGGCACCGTGCACCCGGTGGAAGCGCGTAGGAGGGGGCCCGGGACGCGCGGGTCCCCAGGTCGGACCCAATTCCACCGGGTCGGAGACAGCAGCCATTTCCCCGCCATGAGCCGGCCCGCGGATGCCTGGGACTATTTTGGGCAGTTGGCTCAGAAGATGACCGCGGGGGGCACCATGTAGGGAATTTCCCACCTACTCCCTTCCCCGAGGCTCTGTGCCCTGTGTCCTAGCGCCGCTTGCTCAGACACCCCGCTTAAAACGAGATCCCCCTGGAGGATGGGGGATCCTGGCGGTCCACACCGAGTCACCTCAAGGACGCCAGAGACGTGACCTGCGAAGCCCTCGGACCCTGACCGGGCGTAGTGCGCCTCAGTCCCCGCCCCCTCTACCCAGGGTCAAGAGAAACAGCTGAGCCAAGGAGGCCGTCTGCCACGTGACACCAAAGCACACGTGACTGAGCATACACATGACCTGCAGTAGCCGGGCACCTTCTGGAAAGCTGGGACGCGGGGGAGCAGAGGTGAGAAGACGTCGGAGTCTGGCAGGGATCCCGGAGCCACGGCTGCGGGCGCTGGGGGCGGAGGAGGCTCGGCGGTGGGAACTGGGCGCGGGGCTGGGGATTTCCTCGCCGGAACGCCGCTAGCGCCTCCCCAGGGACGGCTGCGCGCAGCCAGGGACCCAGTAAACAGCAGGCGCCCGTTTCCTCCGCAGATGGTCCGAGCCGCGCTGTCGCCGCCGTGCTTCCTGCTGCTGCTGTTGCTGCTCTTCTGGTCGCCCCGAGGCGAGGCAGCCCCCGATCAGGACGAGATCCAGTGTCTGCCTGGGCTGGCCAAGCAGCCCTCTTTCCGCCAGTACTCCGGCTACCTCAAAGGCTCCGATTCCAAGCATCTCCACTACTGGTCCGCGGCTCTCCCTTCCTGGGTGGGGTGGGGGGGCTCACAGTGATGCCCCTCAGGGGAGAGACTGCGGAGCTGGGGAGCGGGGAGGGCTGGAAGAGGCCCCTCCACCTGCACCCACCCTGGCCTGACACCCCTCCCAGGTTTGTGGAGTCCCAGAATGATCCCAAGAGCAGCCCTGTGGTGCTTTGGCTCAACGGAGGGCCGGGCTGCAGCTCCCTAGATGGCTTCCTCACCGAGCATGGCCCCTTCCTGGTGAGTGGAAAGCAGCACTTCCCTTCGTGACCCAGGAAAAGGAGAGGGCAGGGGCACTTCCCAAAGGAAAAGGCCAGCGAAGAGGGGGCAAGGACTTCTTTTTTTTTTTTCCCCCCCAAAAATGCCACCTCTTTCTGAGCCTCAGTTTCTTTATCTGTATCATCTGCTGAACGCGGTGGCCCTCTCCCTCCACCTGGTGGGTTCTTGGGCCATAATTAGCCACATCTGTCCTCCTCAGATCCAGCCAGATGGTGTCACCCTGGAGTACAATCCCTATTCCTGGAACCTGGTATGGGCGCTGCTGTGGGTCCCGTGGGGAAGCCTTGGGCACTTGGATGGGTGGAGCCTTCTGCAGCTGCTTTCCTCCTCCCCCCTCCAGATTGCCAATGTCTTGTACCTGGAGTCCCCAGCTGGGGTGGGCTTCTCCTACTCCAATGACAAGCTTTATGCAACCAATGACACTGAGGTGAGTCCTGCACATGCCCAGGTACCCCTGCTGCCCTCGTTCTCCGAAGGTGGCCTGATACAGGGAGAGAAAGACCATGGCCGTGGAATTCGTTTTTTGCTGTCATGTGCTGTGCACTGTGACACTGTCTCCTCACTATCACTTCCTCCTGCACAAACAGGGTAGGTTGGTGTCATCTGGAGTGTCTTTCCAGCTCAGACACCAGAGTCTCCAGATCCCCTCCATCCTGCCGTCCCCAGGTCGCCCAGAGTAATTTCGAGGCCCTTCAAGATTTCTTCCGCCTCTTCCCCGAGTACAAGAACAACGAGCTTTTCCTGACGGGAGAGAGCTATGCCGGCATCTACATCCCCACCCTGGCCGTGCTGGTCATGCAGGACCCAAGCATGAACCTTCAGGTGCCGGGCAGCTGCAGCGGGAAAGGGAGGCGACTTGGGACTATAGCTTCTGGGCCAGTGAGGTCAAACAGGTCGCCTCCCCCATCTGACCCAGACTCCTCCATAACACCCTTGCCACCAGCTGGCCTCTCTCTGTTCCTGTGCTTCCTGTGACAGGAAACTCACCCATCACGCTGCCAGCTCTGTTCTCTGTAGTGTGGCCTCCCCCACCCACACACCCCCACAAAGCACCCTGGGTGTAGGTCAAGGGTGGCTCCTCTCCCTCACCCTCCTGCTGAGCTGGATACCCTGGCTGTTTCACAGGGATTGGCTGTGGGCAATGGACTCTCCTCCTATGAGCAGAACGACAACTCTCTCGTCTACTTCGCCTACTACCATGGCCTTCTGGGGAACAGGTATGGGAGAGGGCAGCTGGGCGGGGCAGGTCGCAAGATCTCAGGGTTGCCATCTAGGCATATCGTACCCCAGGGCCCACCCTGGTTTATCAGCACATGGTGGGGGCTGGGATTACTTAGAAGGGTTTGGTGCAAAAAGACCAAAGGCTGGAGAGTACAATTTAAAGGGACCAAGGAGACGGGACCTACATACCACACCCTGTGATACGTTTCCTCATCCCCTGGGGTCCGGTTGGAGGGAAAAGGTGGGGTTCTCGCCTCCTCCGCCCACCGTGGGTCCTTAAGCACCTGCACTCCGATCTTCTCCAGGCTCTGGTCTTCTCTCCAGACCCACTGCTGCTCACAAAACAAGTGCAACTTCTATGACAACAAAGACCCAGAATGC